GGGTGGATCTCGACAATATTGTCAGGATTTTTTCTGGCTGCAGCGTGGCTCTGGGCTTTCATCATATAGCTGGCAATAGCCAGCTATATGCTGAGTTCTGGGTCACAGGAGGACATCAGTACAAGGTGTGAACAAAAAATATGGTGAATGTTTAAATTTAAAAAAAATAATTACAGTAAAATATACATTGCCATTAATCCCCCTCAAAATCTCCCCCCTCACTGGAAGTGAAGGGGAAGATTTTGAGGGGGATTAATGTCAATGTATATTTTACTGTAATTTTTTTTTTTTTATATATTTTTCGAAACATATTTATTCCATCGTTCTTGCCAGTTTCTGAAGCAGTTCTGGAAGTCCTCTTTTATAAGTGTCTTTAGTAGCACTATCATGGCTGCCTCAATGTCCTGAATCGATTCCAAACATTTACCTTTCATGGTCATTTTGACTTTGGTGGAGAGCTAGAAGTCGTACTGTGCCAAGTGAATAAGGTGGATTAGGACACACTGTAATGTTTTTATGTGACAGAAATTGCTGTAACAGGAACGATGTGTAATTGTTCGTGATTCATGATTTACGGAACACTTTTAAACAAACCTTTTTCAACCGTAGCTCACAACCAACTGATTGCACCAAACAAGTTGAAACTTGTCACACAAAGTTACTAAGGTTCAATGCACCACTTCTCGTATATAAGATCTCCGCCTTTCCACTGGATGGCACTCGGCAGACAAATTCACCATATTTTTTGATCACACCTTGTAAATGTCCTCCTGTGACTCTAAAGAGAACTACAGCCAAAAAAGGTTTGGCCATAGTTCTCTTTTAAGTTATATATATATAGCCAAACATTTTTTTAGTTTTGGATAGCACAGGAAACCTAATCAGGTTATTTTTTTGCCATCTGTGTCCCATTGCAGAGATTTCCCTTATTATCTTCCGGAGATGCAACAGGAATGAAAAAAATCTCTCCCGAGTTTGAGTAATACTCTACTAAACAGTTGTCCCCAGAATAGGTGTCCTCACTGGAAGATTTCCTCCACCTCTGGAGGAAACCCCTGCCCTCCACAAATGTAGAGGGTGAATCTTTCCAGTGGGGGGACACAGACAGCAATAAAAAACTTGACAGAGTATGTAAATCCCTCCCCTCGCTATCCAAACATTTTTTTTTTAAAAGCTTTGCCTTTACATACACTTTAATTTCCCAGCAGGATTATTTTAATGGGAGAATGCAGATAGGAGAAGTATGACTTGTCCTAATGCATCAGACGATGCAAAAGCAAATTTAAGCTATCCACTAAGCTTAAAGAGACCCTGTTACTGCCCCCTACCTAGACAGATAAGCATACTAAAAAAAACCTGTCTAAATACCCATAAATCAGGCTGGCTTTATTTTTCAATTCCTCTCCACTGCCATGCTGAACATTAAAGGCTGCATGCTCCAGAGGGACAGTCTTTGCAGATCGTATGAGGTTTGCCCGGCCTCTACCAGGACCTTGGCTAATGTCAAGGTCAGGGAAGGAGAGCAGCTAGGCCTCTCAGGGGACAACACAGTCTCCAACTTTCCAGTTGTGTTGGAGGTTGCTTAAAAACACCAGTCTGATTAATGTGTATTTAGATACCTTTACTCTGTATTTGTATGTACCGTAGTTAGGCATAAGGTATTGGTGGGGTCTCTTCAACATCTTTTACACTCCCAAGCTATTGCGTCACCTAAACTGCTAATAACAGATTTATGACGCCTTCCAGCCAATCAGTTTCTCTGTTTGAAAGTCCTTTAATCCAATTCAAAATGACTAGGGGTGCGGAAATTAACGATTAATCCGTCGATTTTCTCTTTCAAGTTCAACAGCCTGACATAGCCTGGAACATCAGGTAGTTAAATATCAGAAAAATTATAAGCAGATTAGATTATTAGATTCTAGAAAGGAAAGAAGGGTATGTAGGTAAAAAGGGCATTAAACTCTGCTACAAACTCCATGATATTCTACTATGGTCAAACAACTAGAAGGACATTCAGAAAGGTTTATGAATTATGTAAAGTAGCGTGTGACAATAGAAAATATAGAGGTTGTGACTTCATTGGGCCCATGAGATCTACGTTAAAACCATGGTGCCCCTTTTTGCTACTGGGTGCTTACATTATATTCTTTACAGCAAAAAAATCTGCATTTCTCTTTTCTTCACATCGGTTTTAGCACTCTGTTACTATGTTTTAGCTTATAGTAGGCTTATAAGGCTTACTAACAAAGCTAGAGCTATTTCCCATTTATTGTATTATATTAATAATTAGTTGCCCAAGGAAGGATTAGGACTCTTAAAAGCTAGTAGGAAATACGAGGGCCCCTCTTTATATTTTGTGCCACGACCCTGCAGCTTTCAGCTACACGGCTGCTATTCAGTTGTTTTTGTTTCTATTTTACCCTCAGGAGGTTCTTAAATTATTAAAGAGTATAGCTAAAGGTTGATGGGATATGATTTAAAAATGTATGTGCTTGCCAAGTGTAAGCCTTCCAAATGTAAATCAGTTTTATATAAGACAAAGTGTTCAGGTTGTTTTACAGGTGCATACTGCTTGCTTATGATGATGAAACAAAATAGTAAAGAATGGTAAAGATGGTAGAGCAAATAGAGTTTGAAATTGATCAGGAATAAAATGTCTATGGTTGCATTGGAGGAATGTGAAAATAGAAGTTGCAGTAGGTTAAATTCAAACATGACTCTTGTTTAAGAAGCTCCATCCATCTTCTAGTGGTAGAAACCATCATACGACTTCCAAGTTCCAGAGGAGTGAAGCTGAATCTGTTGAGTTTTGTGATGTCACAGCCAAGGGTATACTATGCAACCAGGACTGGTAGAATGGCAGCTATTGTAGGAGGATGCAAGTTGTGTCTTTAACAGGTATAATTTCTTCCAATACATTCTTTTTAAAGTGTGCCTGAAGTCACAAAAATGTAGCTATAGTTTTCCTAGTTTGGCCGCATATCTTTTCAGCTGTGCTACAGAGCACCTCATATCCTCAAATCTTAGGTTGGAACCTGGTCACAAAACCTACCACTTTCTTTGTCTTATTATTCGGCCATCACTGTGATGGGAAGCCTTATTGGCCAATGGTAAGATGCAGAAGGTGAGGCCAGTCTCTTATCCAAGAAGCATGGTTGACATTTTCATACAAAGCACCCCTGCGATTTGTGGCTCCCAGATGTTCAAAAGCACAGCTGAGTAGATGTGCAGCTACCTGGTGGTGCCTGCTTTGGCATATTAGTAAGAATGTTACTACTTTTTATTTTTTCAAGTTTGCTTTAACATTAAAATTGAAAGTTATTGGTCAGTATGCAAACTGTAGCTTGAACAGAGTGCTTAGATCAGCTCAGCTCCTGTACATTACTTCAACTTTAACACTGTTTTTCAATACTCTGTGACCACTATGGCAAGTTCCATAAAGCTTCAAGAGGTACCTGAGCTTAGCTCACCCACTAAAGGCACATTTCATGAAAAGCTGTCTTGTTGCCAACTTTGCCAGTGGCATAATTATATGTAGATCTTACACCACTGCTGTAGTTCACAGAGTAGTCATCTTAAAGTATCTGTCATGTCAACATTTTTTTTACATTTTAGATAGAGTAGCAAAGGATTAGAAGCTCTGTTAGATTATTAAAGCTGTCTGTTTCCCCTCTGGGCTGATTTTGCCTCTGTTTCTCCTGGTGACCATTATTAACGAGACAGAAAGTGATAGCAAATGCTCAATTTTTAAAGTTGTCACCAGAAATGCAGGGAAATCTTATGAGAACTTCTGCTCTGGTGACATTTGTCTAATAGCAGAGTCCCCTTTACATTGTTGTGCCTCTGGGACATGATGCAAAGTGAATCTCCCCAACGGAACACAGACAGCTAAAATTAAACTAACATGAGTTTTAACCATTCAATATTCTATCAAAATAAAAAAATAAAAAGTTTTTGCTATACATACATTTTAAAAATCTCATAGTGGAAACATCTTGTCCCATTGTAGAAATCACATTTTAGTGAACCCTGCTCACTGCCAGTCTGATTCAATCATGCACTAGTACAAAGAGAGAAACTGAACTGCAAATTGCATTTCACAGCAAGGTCACCAAACCGGTTTCCCTTTCTGGATATACAATGTCTGAAACATTAATTATTGGTTGCCATTATCTACCGCACTTTGTTATTTTCCTTAATTAATCAACCCATACATGTACTGTAGCTACAAAGAACTTGTGAGCATATGTGCAATGTCTTTCAGACCAAAGCTACAATTTCCATTGTGCTGCAAAATGAAAATAATTTTAATTCATTTAAGTGATTTTTTTTCTTTTCTCGTAAATTAAACATTTCACAAAACAACAACATAAAATATTTCTAAAGAAACCTCAATACCCAGTTTTGAAAATAAATTATACAATAGACATCTGTGCTTTAATATTGTCTCTGCTTGGTAGTATTCTTTTGGCAACTACTTTCAACATAATAAAAAAAATAATGTGATATGATTCTCCTGTGTCCTTTGACAAAATATACAGCTTCAGATTTATACATGCTCTCCTATAGTCTTTACAATTTTGCAGTCATTTCCTTGTGCTTCCAAACCTGCATTACTGATCATGTGAAGTAGGGATGTTATTGAACACAGAGGTTTTTAGTGCGGTATACCTTCATTTCAAATAGCACATGTGTGCTGTAACCCTTAACAACCATATATTTTAGACAAGTGCAAGTTAGATAAAAGCTAGTTAGTGATTGGCTACTATGGTTTACAGCAAAGATGTGCATTTGTAGCCTCATTATATCCCGACAGGTAAATCACATACATTTAGTTAACTTTGTGTTTGTCTTGGTCTTATTTTTATTTGAAGAAAATTGTATTCTTTAATATATTAATAATAATATTGACATTTTGATTATTTTTTTTTTGCAAAAAATATGCATTTTCCTTTAATGGCCAAGAAAACTTTCTTTTTTTAAATAGGTAAATTATTATTTGTATTTTTTTTACATTAAAAATGTATGGGATGTGAGTGATTTACCTGTATCACCATTCAAAAGAATGCACTGTTTCGTTATAGAAACTAGAACCATTTTTTTTACACTTTTTTTTTTGGCAAAATGGTAAATATTTTCTGTACACTGACAAGTCTTTAGGTATCCCTCTATTTTTTTTTTAATTTGTGATGATCCCATGTGCCCATTTTAACCTTCTAATTCTTCTTTTTCCCACTGGAAGTCTTGGCCTGTCATTTGGTAGAACATAGTATTGAAAGGTTTGTAAAATTTCCTCAAGCGCTGGATGACGTCTGGGTCAATTTTGGGATGAGTCCGACCCTTAGATTTTCCCAAGCACCTGGGAGCTCCTGTATCTTCTGGCTTCTTCAGGCATGGGAAGCCTTTGGTTTTATTGAAATAAAAATATTTATCTGTGATAATCCGTTGGAGACCCAAGAAGTCTTGGACTTTGGCCAGCTCTTCTGCTGGGTTGGTAATGAGACGCTCTCCACTCACAAAAAGTATCTGGGAAAGGGGAAAGAATTGCATCCAGCTTTCTAGATGCAAAGCATAGATGCCTATCCGCAGTGCACTCCAACTAGCATCAATCAATCCCAGGGTCCTGTTTTTGAAGGCAAGGACCTCAAATGTTGGTATTTCTGGTTTTTTGGAAAGAGTCTGAGTATAATCAGATATGGCACGAGTAACTGGGTTCCTGACCACCACAATAAGTTTTGTGTCTTTGGCCATTGAATAGATTCGCTGTGGAGCCTCATTGGTAACAAAATAACTGGGTGTCTTCTCCATCGTAATCTGCCCTTCTATCGTTCTTGGCATCAGATCTCTGTATAAAAAACACACATAAAAATATATTAATGATCAAAAAATATTAGTTCACAATACTTCAACACTTTCTTCTCATTCTTCTAGTCAATAGTATAGCTAGCTAGGAGGTTATAATATGGAAGAGTAATATGTCATGTTCATGTCCTAAGAAGTTGAAAAATAGATAAAACAAGTTCCAGGAGGAGAAGCCGGCGCTACAGCCAGATGGAAAGACTTTTATCACTTTATCTGTCCAACACAAACACATTAGCTGCCAGATTAACAGCTGAGTTTAGCATATTCAATTCTCTCACTAGCTAACTTTCAATGCTTCCATAATAACATGAAAATTAGGTGACTGTACACAGGACTGAAGACGTTTTATTTTAGGACAATTCCATGGCATAATAATCTCCTGGGTCCAACTTCATCTTTATTTTTCAGCCCTTCCATCTATTTTGAAATGTTTGGCCAGACTCTCAGGTGAGACAATTAATTTAGGAACAAAGGACAGGATAATCTGTCTGTTAAATGATGTATAATTATTCAATGTTTTGGTAGGACAGAAAATGCTGATGCAGAACAGAGCTACATAGCAAATGCCCTACTATGGGCGCCATATGCCAGATATGCAGCAGAATGGCCATCTGTTTCTACATAAAGATGTAGCTCTTAAAAAAAGCAATTTTAGCAACTAAAGTATATTAGAACATTGCACCAAACTGATTCCTGGATAAGATATTCTGACAATGGCATGTCCCCTTTAAGCAGACTATAACAAAAGAATTTCATACTGTGAACGTCACCTGCCAATATCATCTGTTACAGCTTTGAAAGCTTTTACCTTTTGATCAGGGAAGACAAATACTGATAAGAACGGCAAATAAACCCCTATTCACACTTGGGTGTAATTGTCTATTTTCAATAGAGCAGTGGTTGACTTCAATCTTCCTCAACCGTTCACTTTTGTGACCGCAAAAAGAGTCATTTTATTTGTAACTTTGCACGATACAGTCCATATGGTTTTAAAAACTAACATTACGCCATGGCAAACTCTGAGCGCTTTAAAATGCATTACCAGTAATTCGGCACAAATCCCAACAAGAATGTCACTTCACTGAACGGGAATCAAGAGAATTGTAAAACTGTCCCATCATTTGTTGATAATATATAAGCTTCCGACAGTCATCAGCTGAACTTTCATAAATTCAAGAGTAGCCAGACATACTGTTTATAAGATGGCAAGAGAACCCAAATAGATCAAGGTCTAAAAAGACCCAGGAGAACCTTGCAAATGACCAACGATTAATACCAAACTTGTAATAGTTTTACAGGTATGATTATGGTCAGTCTGAAAGCTTTTTTATGTATGTGCTTGTAAAGAATCATATTATTTCCAGAGCAAGAACATTGCATGAGTGCTTTATTTAATGTTCTTGGTGAGCAGAATGGTCTCAAAGGCAGGCTGTAGAGAATGAATGACCCAAACATCATTTATGTTTCACCTCTTCTTGTGTCGTCCTATGATATATCTGTATGAAATCATACTGGTCTTACAATTGTCTGCAATTTTTGTACATTTGTTCTGCAGGGATGAATGACTGACATTTCCCAAGTCTGAGAATTGGCAACTAAAAAAAATCTACTGACTGTATTGTTGAGTAGTGTAATAATTCTGACTAGAGTCTCCTTACACAAGCCAAATCACACTTGTCCTTTCTTTGTGATAAAACACAAAGTGTATTTTAGACCTGGATTCTTGCCAGGTAAAAAAAAAAAAAGAGGAGCACTTAGGCCTACTCTATTCCCATCCAATCTATATATTTTTTTTTCTTAACGTAATCCATGGTCTTGCAATGCTCAATCATGCTTGTTACAGTTAGGCAAGCAGTCATCTGTAGTCACTCTTTATGTACCCCAGCCTTCTCAACCAGAGTGCCCTGGCACAACCTGGTGTGACTTCTGGCTGCCTCAGGGGTGCCCCAAAATTTTTAACAGCAAAATGACTCTCCCCGGTGTTGATGGTATGGCTACCAGCACCATGTAAATAATGACGCTAAGCCAGGCAGAGTGGAATCCATTCAGAGAAGGACAGAAATGTATCTACATCCAGGCCTGGTCTGCCTGTCACTCTCTGCCACCCTGCCGTAGCTGCAGCTCCTACTGTGGAGGAGTAATTATGACAGGAAGGAGGGGAGCCCTACTTTTTTCCCCCTCAAAGTCCATACCAGACCCCTCTCTTAGATAAGGGTCTGGTATGGATTTTGTAGGTACCACGCATGGATTTTTACATTTACTTTTTTTTTTTATTTATACTGGGATGCCTCAAGGTTTTGCTGATTTTTAAAGGGTGTCGTGACTGAAAAAGGGAGAAACACTGATGTACCCAGTAGGTTCTAATATGCAGCTGGCCTGCTCATTATGTGGTTAGTTCCCAAACATGTCTTCCAGCTTAGTGTATTTTTTTTTCTAAGAAATTGGACATTAAGAGTCCATTACCGCTGTTCTATGCATGTTCTCAAGAGCATGATGTTATACATTTTGGTGCATTGACTAAGGTTGTGTTCAGGCCCGTCTTTAATACTGATCGGACCCTGGGCAAACATTCTCTTGGGCCCCCCTAGGAATTTCTCTCACCTCCCCAACACCCAGAAAAAAAAACAGCACACATAGATCATAGACTTCTCTCAAAAAAACTTTGACTGCAGGATTTCAAACCGATTGCAAGCTCAGCCCTTTACATTATGGGTGGCACCGATATATCGGCAGCCGAAACATATCGGCCGTAAATGCCAGTTTTGGCATAATCCCGAAAGTGCCATTTCCCCTACCAGGGCTATGTGGGGTCTCACCACATAGCTTCCCCTACCCCAGCATCAGGCCCTTCTTCAACCTTGGGCACCAGCTGCTTGGTACTCCTGTGATCAGAGGCGGCTCTAGAGTTTGCGAGGCCTTAGGCAAAACCTAAACATGAGGCCCTACTCAGGCCTGTGGGGTCTCACCAGGTCTCTGTGGGGTTTAACCAGGCTGGTGAGACCCCCAAAGAGTCCTGGTGAGACCCCTCAGAGCCCTGGATTCATCAGGACTTTGTAGGGCCCCAACAGGGCTCTGTGGGGTTTAACCAGGGCTGGTGAGACTCCACAGAGCCCTGGTGAGACCCCGCAGAGGCCTGGCTAAACCAGGGCTCTGTGGGGGCCTCACCAGGGTAGCAGGCCTGTGGGAGGTCTCACCAGGGCACTGTGGGGTCTACCCAGCCTTGTTAGACCCCACAGAGCCCTAGTGAGACCCCACAGGGCCCTGGTTAAACCAGCGCTCTCCACAGCGCTCTCCTCAGGGCTCTCCAGGCCGCCAATCACCAGTGTCTCGGGGGCGGGAGCTGGCAGGACCAGCCAGTGCCGACATAGTCTCCATCTGCTGCTGAAGATAAACTCCAAACTCCCAGCCAGAGATCCTCGTGTGGTGGATGGGAGGGGTGAGGTCTCTTCTCATTGGCTGGTGGGCAGAGCTCCAGAAGACTGAGTGAATGGACCGTACAGACGATCGAGGAAACATATGAGCGCTCAGCCCTGTCACTGTCAAACTGAGAGTCTCAGTTTGACAGCGGCAGGGCTGAGAGCTCACAACGTTGCCTGACTGCGAGCGAGGTGATGTGCTGTTCCAACAGGGGAAACAAGGTGCCCCTATTATTCATAGGGGCGTCGAGCTCCTATGAATAATAGTCAAAAAATGGTATAAAATTCATTTCAGTACAGCGTTGCATGACGGAATAAACGTCAGTCAAAGGACTGCAGCGCTGAACACTGAAAAATGGCCTGGCCAGGAAGGGGGTCTAAACACCTGGTCTTGAAGTGGTTAAATATTGTCTTCATTTTTAAATGAGCTTATAAGAGATGTTGATGTGTCTACTGGTGATTTAAAAAAACGCAAATGTGAAGGATAATTTTATTTGTAACCAAGCATGATACAGTCCATATTGTTTTAAAATAATATTATTAATATTACCACTAATATTATCCTATGGCAAACTCTGAGTACTGTATTTAAAATATATATTTTTTTATAGTTGGTAATGAAACAGGCTCCTAAAAATAAATCCTGCTGGCTCTTGGATTGGACAGACTGGCTCCAGAATTCCATATTATTTTGTCCACCCCTGAGAAGAGACACTTGTTGGGATGACAACTGTCTGAGGGGATTTTCCTCACTTTTAATTTCCTCTCCCTTCCTGGTCTACAGGATGGGAAGTAAATTAGAATCTCCCCAATCAGACACAGGTTAAAAAAAGAAAAACGGACGGGTTCTACCCTTCCTTAGTGTATCCAAAATTAGAAAAATGTTGTCTTTAGTTATACTTTGAGGGCTTTTTCTTACTAGTGTGCATGTAGTAACGTTACCTGTGCTTATTGAAGGGTGCACAGATAACATTTAACCAGTTCTACTATGTTATGCATATATCATTTGCAACCGATGGATTGTACAATGTAAACTGTTCCTTTTAACATAGAAATAAATATTTATTTTGCAGAACAGCATGCACAAATACATATCTGGTTATTCTGAGAATTCTGCAGTGCGCTAACAAAAGGCGGATCGTATATAACTCTTAGCTCTAAGTATGTCTTAAAAAAAGAGAGAATATTTAACACAAATAAACATACAAATTAAAAAACACACACACATTAAGATAAAGCCCTTAGATGTGAACTGGCAGTGTTAACTGTGACAATAAGTGTAATTGATCCTGACATAAAGTATGCCTAAATCAACAATAGGCAGCAGGAGAGCTTGCAGTATAGTCAGCAGACTACAGGGGACCAGTGTGGTAAATTAAAGTTACAGCTGTAATAATAATAATAATAACCATAATGGTATTTTGCATTATGAGAAAGAGAATATGCTCTTTCCAAGAATAAAACAAACCTCAACTGTCCTTTGCAGTTTTCATTAAGGACAAACTCTGTCTGTTGCAAAAGCTTAGAGGGCAGTAAATCTACACTATTAAGGCAGCTAAACAGTCCA